GTCCAGGAGGATGTCTGGACCCTGATTAGTTTGAGATATTTTGAGCGATGCAAACATCAGCTTTTACCAACAATTCCGCGTTTATTTACTCTTCATTCGTTTTCATTAATGCCCGCCTTCTTTTCTCTTTTTCTGTAGATTTTTGCCATGGTGGTGTTTGCCTGTATCACGGGAGAGGGCTACGTTAACACCCCCTACGAAGCTGAAGCCAAATGCATCTTCAATCACAACGACTCGGCGTGTCATTATGCAGTCGGTATCGGGGTGATTGCTTTCCTGGCATGTGTGGCCTTCCTCGTGTTGGACGTTTACCTGCCTTTTATGAGCAACGCAGAGGAGAGGAGGTTTGCTGTCGTTGCTGACCTGGGATTCTCTGGTGAGCATGAACGTTTATTTTTATAAAGATTGCACAAGGAAGAAGAGACTGACAGAAAAACCTGAGGCAATGACAGGCAAAATAGTTGGTGGTGATGCAAAGTGGGTGGGTGTGTTTGCAGAAGCGTGTTTACAGCCTGGTGCAAACATAGTTTCAGCCTCTATATGTAATTTATCTATTCGTAGCAGCTGTAAAGAGGGCGAAAGCATTTTTAGAACTCACTCATTTGGATTCTGTGAAGAGTTAAAGTTGGGGCATGGCTGCTTTGATTGACAGGTGATAGGTGATTGCTATCTCCTGGGCCTCACCTCTGCTAATTAGAGTCACCGAATTGTACCCTCGGCTCTGTTTGTGCTGTTGTTTCCCTTTGGAGCATCTGTCCTTGGGAATATGAATTACCCACTCCTGACATAGAGGGAAGGGTCACTACATGTTAATACAAAGTACCTCTTAGTGATCACCTTTAATCCTATAATGCAAGGGTGTCAAACATAAAGGCCCAGTGACCAGAATGGGCCCAATAAAGACTCAGGTCTGGTCCACTGGATGGCTTTGGACAATGTGCAATGTGGAAGGCATAGATTTTTGCATTTTAACTGTGTTTTCATAAGTTTTAGATTTATTTATTTTTTCTACGGATAAAGAGCTCTCCCATTGCCATTCATACTACACCAAATTAAGATAAACAATAAAATAACAGAACATTTCCCGATTTTGAGGTCAGAAATATGTGTTTCTTCTTTCATTCATTTCAGTGATCTAGATAAACTCAAACGTATTGTTGAAATGGCGCTTCTTTCTTCTTTAAACTTGGTTCTCTGAATCATTCGCGTCCTGATGGGAGTGCTCTCTTTCAAGATGATACTCGCATCCACTTGGCATGAGCTAAATGGCTACAGCCTTTGCAGTCATCACGTCATAAACTAATTGAGCATCTTATGGAGATTATAGATTGAAGTGTTTTCACCACCATCGTCAAAAACGCAAGAAAGCGAGTGATTCATGCATTCAAGCTGTTCCTAAAGCGTGAACTTGTTCATGTCGAAAGCCTCTGAGTGTTGGTGTAATCTGGGACAGGCTGCTGACTGTTTCCCTGACATAACGCAGTATTCATCATTGCAACATTAGACGTGGAATGAGCTGCAGGGTGGAGGAGGAGTATGACCTCACATATTCAGATGAAAATAAACAGACATCGGCTTTCCACAGTCAGCCATTCTTCAGGAAAACAAAAGAGTGTTAGTTTGGAAAAACGGCGCGTTTTCGTGCGAGCAGACGGAGACGGGGGAATCCTTTTGTTTATCTTTTCATATCTGTATTTTCAGCTGAACGCTTCTGTTCCTCCATCCAGTGAGGAAAAGGTGATCATTTGTGCGTCCGTTTCTCTGGATGTTTGTTTTAGGAGTGTGGACCTTCCTGTGGTTTGTGTGCTTCTGCCTGTTGGCCAGTCAGTGGAGTAAAACTCCCGATGACCACTCAATCCCCAAAGACGCCGCACGTGCCACCATCGCTTTCTCGTTCTTCTCTATCGCCACCTGGGTGAGTGGGATTGCGGCTTTGATTTAGTCACTTTAGCATTCAGTAAAATTTAGTTTTGAAAGTATTTTGTAGATATTTTGATTGTGTACTCGATGTTGTACTTTTTTCTGATTTAAAAGAGTGCTTTAACATTTTAGAAAATGTACTGATTCCCTTAGATGTGTTTGTTAACCCCAGTCTTGTAGCTTTTCATTAAGATTAAGATAACAGTGTATCTATGACAGAGGATAAGGAAAAGCCTAATAAGTCCACTCTAAAGAGCTGCTTACATCTTGGTGCCAGATACCACAGAGCCCTTCAAATTGTATTTCTAGCCTATTCCTCAGCAGGTTAGAGCTGCTTCTGGCAGAAAACAGAGGTTTAACACTTTAGGCAGGAATGCTCAGTGTTTTTGGCTCATCAGTGCATAATGAGTGTCTCCCATTAATTTTTTAATCTTGTGTAAAATTTGCATTATTTCTGTTATTGCTGAAAAAATGCTCATCGGCCTCTCGTGTGATTAATTACTTGCACATTTTTCACAGAAGCTTGAATGACTTCATCATTTTTATTCTCATCATGCAGGGAATCCTAACATACTTCGCCCTGGGTCGTTTCCGCCATGGTGTAAAGGATGTTGCCATCCCTACCTACACGGAGACGGTGCCGGATATTGCCACCCCTTATCCTCCAACCTATGCCCCCACCTCCTACAATCCCACCACTTACACCCCCACCACTTACACCCCCACTACTTATACAGCCTATCCCAGCAATTTGCCTGACATCCAACAGCAGCCTCCTCTCGCCCAAAACCTCCCGCCCAAGGTAGATGCCGGCTACCAGCCGCCCAGCTACTGAGACAGAGGGGAGGTCACATGGGCCAGGTGGTGTTCGTCTGTCGGTGGACTGACTGCAGTTGCACTGCACACCCGCAGAGCTATATCATATTGATGTGGTTTCACGCTGATTTAACGATGTCAGATTTGAGAGCCTGAGCAGTGCAACTCCATGTTAGAGAAGAGGAACACTGCTGTTTACGTCAGTGGGTCTGTGATCAGGTCTTAAGACATCAGGCTGACTGCTGAGATTAGTGCTGATGATTGGGTAATCTGACCTTTGACCCCTGTGCAAAGATGCAACTTTTACCTCAAATGAGCAGATCCTGGAGGTAGAAGAGGGTCACATAATGTGACATTATGAAGAGTGCTTATGACAGCCACAAGTGGACGAGGCCGGCATTTAATGTGTTGCTCATGAATCTGTTGGAACTTGAGGATATGCATTTATACAAACAATTCACAAGTAAAACTGCCATTTTCATGGTTGTATGTGCCTGATTATATTTTCTTATTTGGTCATACGTTTTGTTTTGTTTTGTTTTGTTTGTTCAATTTATTAAGCCTGTGGAGATGCAACTAGTTTACGAGGTATTAAATTAATTTGCAAATGCGAGTTGACTGTTAGTGTGAAAAACTACTGTAAAGCCAAATTCTGACAGAATTGTATTTTGTGAAACTTGGGAGTCTACATACAACCATAAAATTATCTATCCATAAATGTATTCTTTTCCATGTTTACTAACTGTGAGGACCCTGAATTTAATCAAGTCTGACTGAGGCAAATACAGCAGATTTGTGTTTGTAAAAAAAATTGGTTAAATGTTTCCAGCCTGCAGCAGCGTTCATTGGACTTTGATCCCACCTTTAAGATAGAGAGGAGGGAGGAGACTCTACACAACTATGCATTCATTGAACAGATTTACCATATCCTAATACAGACGAGTAATTTATTAACTGCCATTTACAATGCTTTCTTGCTAGCCTGTGAACAGATCAGCCTCACACTTCCTCCAAGGTCTCAGTGACATTTTGTTTCCTCAACACTGATTATTATCTGCTTCTAGTGTTCACTGTGGGAGAGGAAATATACCCTGTGTGTTAGTATAGTTACAGAATAAGTGCTTAATTTGCAACATGTGCATCCACCACATACACTTAGAAAATCTGGGGTTATGCAATGTTGCTTTGTGCCCAACAGTTAAATGTTTGCTGGTTTTTAATCTCAGCTGTTGTCGATCTGATTACACTCAAAACTTGGCCTGGCATCAGTTTTGGCGTGGGTGTGCAAACTCTGAATTGTCAGTTGGATGGGCTCATACTCACTAAACATTTTTCTTATGCTTCTGCTTTTATATCCGTGGATGGGGAATAAGGTTTGTTCCTTTAAAGATGTGCATAAATTACTGAAGCCAACTGTATGAAAACATTGCTTATTTATCATTTGTGCATCAAAGGGAGAAATTTGAATGACATATGTAAGATGGTGAATGATAGTAAATTGTGCCATGATTAAATCTTGAAGTTATTTTAAGGTTAAGCAGCTGTGCATCACAGCTGCCCTCACTGCTGTGCGTGAATGAGTTTTGTTAATTTCCATACTGTTGAAAGTTCTGAAATCAAAATTAGCAACCCGTAGTTGTCAGTGAAAGGAGCTTGAAATGATTCAACTATGTTTTCCTTTAACATTATTTCCTGTTTGCAGCTTCAAAAGTAAGCCATATCTGCCTCAGTGACAAAAATGTAAAGTGATTATTTGCTGCACGTATCAAGTACAAAGTATCCTGCATTTGTGCTTTTGCTTAAATGTTAATCATAACTGGGTTAATGCACATAGCCTCATGTTTTAGATGCGAGACTGGTTTGATTTGCATGGTCTGCAAGTTTTATAAACACTGATCAAATTGTGCTTGGTTCATTGGTTTTTCTATCATTTCCTGTTTTGTTTTTGATCAAGTTCAGTTTCTTTTGCCTTCGTGCCAATGTCACAGATGCACAACTGTTGAATAAAGTCATAGGTTCAGGCGTCTTGTGCATGCTGCGTCATTCATTTGCTGCAGTAGTACAAGTTTAATATAGTTTGCAGAGGATATGCTGTACTTTCCCATCCCAACATGACAGCTCACAGCACAGCCTTTGAGTCTGCCTGGATTTAAACAGGTTATTTTAGGCCTCAGATGCTTGTGAGTGTATTTACCGGTAATTACATATCACAGTATGCACTAAACATTTACATCTTAAAAGTAAAGAATTCTGCAGAAATGGCAAAGAGTTTCACCACACATTTTACTTACAATATATAGTAAAACGTTGAGTCTGTGTTTCCATTGAGTATGGCCTTGTGAATGTCAGTACATTTGTTAAACACCTTACATTTACTAATGCTACAGTTCAAGATGTCAAAAGCAACCTAAACTAATGTTACAGATATCACCAAAACACTGAATTCTGTGACAGCAGGTTGTTTACTTAGATTCAAGGTTATTAAGTGCGTCAAGTAAATAATATATATATATCTATCAAATAGACACCAAATACAAACCAAATAATCTGATTTGATCATATTCTTTAGCAGACATACAAATAAAGATTCAGTTATTTCAAATAAAAACCCATTTACTCTGCAATCTGCTCACACACACACACACACACACACACGATTAAATGTCTGAACTTGTACACCAAGTCTTTGTTTCGTCTTCAGAGGTGTAGAGAGGAGAAGAGCTTCCTGGGAACACCGCTGTCCACGAGTTTTCCTATGAGGGCATTTTGTGGAGTTTCGTTCCTGAAGGGAGAACTGTTCTCTTTGTCAACCATCAGACCTCCGTAACACTTTCTGCACACCGCCTGATATTTGTCTGCTCCACCAATCACTTCCACCTATGACACAGACAAGACTTTATAAGTATACAACAGATTTATTGCAGACTCTCCATCTCCAACTCTAAAGCACTGGAGAAAATACAGGAAATGGTGAGAAAAATTGTCATTATTTTATATCACTGGATTTTCTATGGCATATTTTCATTCGTTTGAAGTCATCAGCATCATGCTCATCAAAGATGGGTTAGTTCCAGTTAAATCCAGAATCACTAATTAAATATAAGTGAACACTTCTTTTATGTTTTTAATATATTTACTGCATACAGACACTAAGTCTGTCTCATCACCACCCTTTGAAGAGTTCTTTTATCACAGCCTCAGTTATGCCTCCTCACCTCCTTTTCAGCTCCTATCCTCTTGGTGTAGGCAGCTTCTTTGAAACACTGCATGCAGACAGCGTGGAGCTTCACTACACTCTCCGCCAGAGGAACAAGGTTCAGGATGTTTCCAAACGCCTACAAGAATGTGCAGGACAGCAGAAAAGCACAGTCAATATCACTGAATGAACAGAGGTATAATTGCATTACAAGAAAAGAATAGACAATGTAGTGTGGAATAATGAGCGCATTGAGCCGTCTGCATCAGTTCTGCTCCTGCAGATTGTTCAGCATTTCCTTAAAAATGTTCATCGTCTGGGACATTTTGTTACCCCTTTTTCCCAGAGCGGTGCTTGGTGTTGCCCTGCAGCAGCCACAGTCTACCTGTATCGCACTGATATGTGGACACTACTCACCTTTCTCTGGAAGGTTCCATCTAAGGCAGCTACAATGATTGTCTTCCCCAAATTAGCCATCTCCTCACAAAACTCCACAGCATCTGGGAACTGCAACATGAAGGAAGCAGAGTATTTAATGAAGGTCTCTATGCAAGTAAAGACCTATTAAATCAAATAATTTTTTTTAAGCACTGGTCATTCAGGCCAGTGCAACTAGCAACCTCAGATGGCTGACAAAGTAACAAAACAAGTTTCTGTGACGACCAATTTTAAATAAATTAAAAATAAGCTGAAATGTAAGTTTAGAATAGCCTAAGGGAGCACATCAAATGAAATTCAGAAATTACTTTAAATATTTTAAATCCAAAATTTTAAGAAAATGGATGAAAAAAGTAAAAATATATAAAAGAAATAACTAAAAACAAGGCTAGAGAAAATAAAATAAATAAATTAAAAAAAAATAGCACAATGGCTATTAAAATTTTAAGAGTGTAAGAAACCAAAACAACAAAACTGAATAAACCCAATATATTAGTTAAAATGGAAAAATAAATAAAAACAAAGTAAATGTCTATCAAAATATCTAATAAAAAAAAAGGACTTTATTTTAAAGTCAGAAAGGTAGCAGTATAGGATTTTTTTCAAAAAAGGAGAGAGAAAAAAACAAAAAACAATGGGGTAAATGTAAAATGTAAATATATAGATAGACTTACAAACTGTCCTTCATCGATTCCAATCACACAAGCTCGTAGTGCCAAAGGCCGCACATCCCTCAGACAATTTGCTGGTACAGCTTCCATTGTGCTTCTAAAAAATGTACCAGAGAGAAGGAACTTAACTTCAGACAGATGATGTGCAGGCCAGTCACATTTGCTGTGACTGACCTGCTGAAATATTTACACAATCCATTTGCACACTAACTCCTCCACAGGAAAATGCACATCTGAGAAGTCTCACCACTAGAGGTCAGCTGGTGCTAACGTGTCATAACTTGGATTAAGGTAAAAGGAAGCAGCAAACGCAGCTTCTCTATTTTTATTAAAACTCACCTTTTAGAGAATTACTTAATTGCTGTATTTGTTTGATGTTCATTATTATATGAAGACAATCAGTGGGATTATGCTTTCAGGTGTTCTACCTCTGCTGTATAACAAAATTATTGTTAAGAACTAATGTGTCCAGAGAGAGCACTTCCAGCCTAAGGTGTACTTGTCGGAAAATTGCATGCAGCTGTGCACAAATTAAAAATGAACTACTAAGCAAGACTGCATTGGGCTAATGTCTCCTCTTCCTCCTATTATGAAAACCAGAGGGTATTTCTGTGGATATGAACAGCTCAGCTAAACAACAAAGTAAACAGAAAAAACGAGGCTTACTTGTCATGAGTGGCCATGCCCGTGTCGGAGTACCGTGTATCTTTGGCATATTTGATCACCAGGCAGTTGTACTGGGCTATCTGGAAACGGCGCACTCTTCTCATCAGTTCAGTGCTGCAGAATAAATAAAGTTTGCAAACATCAGTTAAAGCTGGATGTTTATTTTCTACATGGACATAAAGCTATAGTGCAGACACTATACACGTAAGCGCGGTAACGAATGCTACATAACATGATTAGTATGAAAATAGTGCAAAAATCTGTGCACTGATCGTTAAAATGTACCATATGCTGTATTAATGTGTATCAACTGTACGCTGTACAGTAACATGAACTGTTTTTATGAATGGGAGCCGGATAAACAATGCAGAATTTGGCGGGAAGTTTTGATTTGGGCGGAAAATCTTCATATAGTTTGTTTTAACATAATTTTACACGTTGGGCACGTAAAAAACTGGCTAATTAACGGCTCTAAAAATGCTTTCTTTAGGTTTATAAGTGAAGAACCCACCTTTTGCCTGAAAACATCGGTCCAAAAATTACCTGCAAACGACAACAAAGAGTCGACGTCAGGACGTGAAAGTCGGTTAGATAACAGTTTTTATCACCACAGGTATGCACCGTTTAAAGTTATTTATATTTTCTTAATTACCTGAGGGTAACTTTTGTTGTAGACACCTACCTGAATTTGTCCCCGGGCTTTCCTCGGTGAGTTTGGTAGGACTCTTGGGAAATCTACGCAGTCCATGTTCATTTAAAATACACAATAACTTAGTAATAAAAAAAATAACAGACAAAAAACCAGGTAATTACAACCGCTACTATCAACAAAACGATAATGTAGTCAGGACACAAGAAGTTGAATTTGCCGCGCCGGCAGTTGTCAGCGGATTTATCCACAGTTCCACCAATCAGCACAGAGTCACGTGATATAGTTTGAGCCAAACAGGCTCAACGGCTCATGTCTGCCACTATTGACCAATCAGAGCCAAGAGGGGTGTTTCGTTAGCCTAAAAAATGGAGGGCTAAAGAAAGGCTCTCTTTTTTAGGCTAAAAGCGCATATTTTCTTTAATAATTTACAGTTTTATGTTAATATTTTTTAAGTAAGACCCCTATGCGCTTACGTAAAATAATGTAAGTAATGTTTTTATGTTGAGTATAAAAGCAAAAGGTGTTGTTTCATATATTTTATGCATTAACATACAAGGAGTATCTACTGTATATGCATGAGGTTAATTTTATTACAAGTTTGATTGCAGGGTCACTTGATGATATTTCACTGTAATATACACTGGCTTGTCAGTTTATTAAGTACACCTGTTCAACTAGTTGTTTGCACAAGTATCGAATCATGGAAGCAAGGTGGTCAAGACAACCTGTTCAAAGAAAGTTCAAAGAAAGGTGATCATAAGTATTTCAGAAACTGCTGGTCTACTGGGATTTGTTTTTTTACTTTGATGGTTCAAAAACGAGAAAATATCCACTGGATGGCAGTTCTCTGGGTGAAAATGCCTTGTTGATGTCAGAGGACAATGGCCAGACAGCTTCAAGGTGATAGGAAATACAACTCAAATAACCACTCGTTGCAATGTGTGCAGAAAAGCATCTCTGAATGAACAACATGTGGAAGCTAGCGCAGGAGACCACACCCGGGTAACCCTATTTCATCTAAGAGCAGAAAACTGAAGCTACAGTTCACATTGGCTCATCTTAATTGGACAATAGAATAAAAAATGAAATGGAATTGGAAAAATGCTGCCTTGTATGTCTGCTGAGAGATTCAGATAGGGCCAGAATTTGGATGCATGCCTTGTATCTATCCATGGTTTTATATTGTATATTTTCTTGACGAAGTTTTGCCCCCTTGGTAACAACTGAGCATCATTTAAGCACCACCTTATCACAAAGCTTGTTTATTTATTAATTTTTTGTCTTCATCCCTTTTATAAAAACAATGATATGTAGATGGAGTTTAGTAATTATTATCTTTGGTGTTTATGAAACAAAACAGTGGGCCTATGTTTACTTATTTTGGCCAAAGTATTTATTCACAAGGCTAAAGACCCACAGTATTTACATGCTATTCCTCTGTATGTGTATTTATTAAGCATGTATCTCTGTTCTTCAAGAAATAACCTCACCACTGTTAACTGTAACATTTTTTAATGTTTCATTTTGTTTAATATCTATTTAGGTTTAATTTACTAAACATCCGATTTTCATTCAATGCACAGTCTGTATTTTCCATCAGCTGCCCCATGGGTCATCCAAATTACTGTGGTAAATAGATTCCAGCTACCTTCTGTTTTCCTTGTTTTGTCAGCTTTTTTGAATAATTTATAGTTTATGCTATTACTTGTCCTATGGCTCATTGTAGTGTAGGTTTATTCGACATTACATTAGTGTCACCTGCACTATTTGTTAAGCTCTACTTCCTGTATAGCTGTGCTTTAGGTCACATGTTTGATCAAATCCCGGAACTAGATATAAATAAAGAAAATGTAGCTTTTAGCAACCGTTACTTCCCATTTTTGTAAAGTAAACAATACGGTTTTAAGCCTCTACCACTCCCTGTCTGACATTTCTGATCTATAAACGACCACGTCCACAATAGACATGGCTGATTTATTTACTTTTCTAAAATGAGGGTCAGTCTGAAGTTCAGTCCACAGTAGAGAGCACGTCTTCTGTATTCATCAGCCAGCGACGACTTTAAACACCACAGGAGAAAAAATAATGCACTGGACAGAGATGAAGAAAGACGTAAGAGCTTAATTTTTATGATTTTTTGTTTTTTCTGTGTTATTAGGATTAGTTCAGTCTTAATTCAGTGTGAAAACAAGTAGAGATCACTCACCCTGCACAGGATTGCGTTAGGAACAGTCTGCAAAATTACCTGGCTTACTGAAACAACAGACTTGGGCAGTAATATAAAACCTATAAGACATATTTTTCTGCTATTATTTTTTTAATCTTCCGTGTAATGAGAAAATGGAGTGCGCAATTAAATCCCCCATAGAGGGCAAACACCCGGATATTGGTACTTTGGATTGTAAAATATGCTTTATTGATCCCTAAAGTTGGGAAATTACTGCGATATCGCAGCCAAAACTCAAACACAACCCACAACAACATAGTCTATAAAAAAGAATAGAGCAATAAAAAATACAAAGTCACACAACAAAATAGTTTAATAAGGTAAAATATTCAAATAAAAAAAGAATTCTGTTAAATAGTGTAATAAAGACCGATAAAAAGTTTAAATAAACTACAACAAAAGAAATATACAGAAATTATATAAAAAGCTGAATATAATGTGATGAAGTGCCTCTATAAAGTTGGTGTGTCTGACATGTCTTTATATTCCCTGTAAAGCACTTTGTAATAGATTGCTGTCTTAAAAAGTGCTATATAAATACATTTTACTTCCTTACTAAAATAAATTTAACAAAGCAAAATAAAACAGAATAACACGTACACTACTATAGTTTGTAAAAGTATTGTCAGATAACAATGCCCAATACACAGTCTAACTGTAGTGGACAGTTCCTCCAGTGTGCATTTTATAATATTTTTCAGTAGAATTTTTTTCCTTTCTTTTTTTTTTAGCAGCCCTGGTGTAATTTCACTCACCTATTTCACCTTCTAAATATTTTTTTAATGTTTTCGTCACAACTATATCACAGGACTCCCATTCTGATAGCAATAAAAAGAACTTGGAGTAATATAAGCACCAAAGCAGCGGTGTAATTGCGGCAGCAGAAGGCGCTGTTCACCGTATTTACGTCGCTGGTCGCCGGCTGATGGTGGTTGGTGTCTGTTCTTTCATGGCCGCGCAGCTCTCATGAGTTTCTCTCTCTTGCAGGAGCTCGAGAGGCAGTATTCCCCCAGCAGGTGGTCCCCCAGGATGTCGGCCGACGACGTGATCAAAGCCCACGTGAAGGCTTTAAAGGAAGGTGGGTTTGTTGTGAAGCTGGATACACACGACTGTGAAACCCGGCTGTGGCGAACAGGCAGGGCAGCAGGAACACAGGTGTCGTGCCAAATGTCGGATACTCGGGGACATCTGTGTCTGGGTCGATTATTTGTGCCTTACTTTGAAGCTTTGACACGCATTCTGACAGAGAAGCTACAGTTTTTCATTGTGCAGCATTTATAAAAACACTCACAGTGCTTAATGACTTACTCTAAGACTTCCTCTTTAATCTGCCAGATTACAAGATCCTACACCTGTGCATATTACGCATAAAACTACGTATTTTGGATATTTAATGTAGTGTGAGTACTTTTTAAAAACAAAACCTCAGTGAATAAGTAATGCTAATAAGTCTCTCTGTCATCATACGTGTAGTTTTAAGGGCTATAAACATATTTGGGGCATTTTTTTTTTTAGATCTATAAGTCTTAAACCTGAGACCCTTTTCCTGATAGAAATCACCAGTTTTGCCTGTTTTCATTTTTGATAAATGTTTTTAATTTAAGTGGTAAAATCTTTTTCTTTAAACAGAAAATAGTCTACTGATATGAAAATACGCAGCATTGCTCAGAATGATTTCTAATTAATTTGTCAGCAGTAGACAAACATGCATTTGGTCTCTTTGTATCTGTAATCATGGCGTTGTACCTAATGCTGTCTGCTGTTCAGGTACGGAGCGAGCCCGTGGTATGGCTCAAACTTTACTCAATGTCCCATATGGGGAAGGAGATGGAGAGAAACTGGACGTCTATATACCCAACATCAACTCTCTGGGTACGGACATGCATTGTTGCCCCACACACTGTTATCCTCCAGGTACAGAGCTGGTATAGGATTAACAGGCCTCATCCTCTCTCTTTCAGATGTCCACCTTGTTGTTTACATACATGGAGGCTACTGGCAGTTTCTCAGGTCTGTGCTGTTGCTGGAATCTCTACATTTCTAACCATAATTCGATTTCTGGGTCATTCATTTTGGGTTTTTGTGGTCACACAGCAAAGAGGAGTCTGGGTTCATGGCTGTTCCGCTCATTGATAAAGGTGTAGTGGTGGTTGCAGTCGGTTACGACATTGCCCCCAAAGGTAGTCTTTCCATTTTTGACAGTATTGTTTCCGTTCTCTCAGGTGAAAAAGGATGATTTAAGAAGATGAACTGAAAAATGTCAGCTTCCTGTTGTGACCTTTCTTTTCAGGTAACATGGACCTGATGGTATCACAAGTTCGCAGGAGTATTGTGTCTGTCGTTCAGCAGTATTCTCACATCAGGTAGCATTGCTTGTTTTTTATATTTGGATTGTATTGTATTTCTTTATTTCTTTAGTTCTTTAAACCTGATGATGAAGAATGTGAAAGCTCATCATCGTCAGGCTTGAAGGATGTCATCTTAAAGCCTCCCAATCTAATGAAATTGTATTTGCAGCTGACTAAAATGTCACTGCCTCTGTTGTAAACGCACTGTGTGTCGTTCTGATGATTCACTCAGTGGTCTGTACCTGTGTGGCCACTCTGCTGGGGCACACCTGGCTGCAATGGTCCTCTCAACTGACTGGTCGCAGTACAGCATCACTCCCCAGATTAAAGGTGAAGGCTGTCAGTTGAAACGGGACATGTAATCAGTAATATAATAAGGCAGAAGTAATTCAGTATTAACAAAATAGGAGGTTAAAACATGATACATTTTTGTTTTCTGATTGTGTTTTAGGTGCTTTTCTTGTGAGTGGCATCTATGACCTCCTGCCCATCTTGTCCACCTACGTCAACGAGCCTTTGAAGATGACAGAGTAGGTGCCTCACTACACTACAGACTGCGGGATAGCTTGTTTAGTACAACTACATACACCATCCCTGTTTTTACAGTTATCTGAGTTTAGAAACACCAATGTGGACATAGACTCTGTGCTTGGTAACAGTAGTTATACTTAAAGACGGCGGTTTTCAAAAAGTTAATATATTAATGAAAGCGACTGATGCAGGAATGCGGTATCATAGTATACTCGCATCTGAACATCTGTTGAAGCCCTGTCTTTTTGGTAGTCCAGCAGATGTATTCCCAGCAACATTGTCCATTCAAGGGGGAAATGATCCAAATCTAATTCTAAAAGTGAATAACTGGAAATTATTTTTTCCCTTTAATGTTGAAGTTACATTCTAGTTGGTTATTATACCAAAAACAGATCTAAGTTAATACGCCCTGATAAAGGCCAAATTCACCAGTTTTGCCCAATTTATTGTTTATTATGAGCGCTTAAGGCCTCAAAGCCCTTTAAAATTCGTTATTAACTAGTATCTTAATATTTACATATACAGATAAAGTAAGCTGGACTCTTATGAATAACAGGAAAATTATGGTGTTACAGTTTAACCTTTCAAAATTAGCTAGCAACCTACCTATTAAGCTGTCCTTCTTTACTACATGTGCTGCAGACATAATAAGAGTATGTTCTAGAGAACGTTCATATGATGTCTCAAAAATTTTATTTAACTTCTTTGTTGTCTTGTGTTTTATGTAATGGTTGTTATAGTTGTAAATAATCCTATCAGAAATTCCTGGATCCAGAGCCGGATCAGGATCAACTGTAAAACTGAGTCACTTGAAGTTTGGCTAAACCTCACTTCTGTTCTTACCGTTTTTGGAAAATTTCTTTCTAACACACAAACTAAACCAATCACTTAACCTTCTCAGCAGTGTTTAAAAACAGAGTGGGTGTAGTTAGAAATAAGTTACCAGACCTAGCCTGCTTCTCTTCTTGAGGCTACATTAATTGGTGCTAACACACCTGAATGTTTGGAGATTGCCTTGGAAGCTTAGTGGTGTAATCCCATTGTTTACAAACTGAAGTTGGGTTTAAAAAGTAATTAGATTTTCACAACTTGTTAACACTTTATGCAATTTCCCAATTTAATTATCGTACTTTCTCAAACTTGGTAGCTGAGGTTGGTTGATGTGCACATTTGTCTTCCATCTCAATGTGTAAATCTAAAAAGTCCTTAAACTCATTTGTCATTGTCCAAATGAGTTTAAGGACTCCTGCAGTAATCCATTTGCATTTGTCTCTAAGTGCCAGTCCGTGTGACGTAAAGAGCATTGTGTGAACGAATGTCGTGATGCTCAACACAAAGGAGAAACTGTGCGTGTAAATGTCCTGGTGTTCATCCGTGTGTCCTCCGTTGGCCTGTGGTGCCAGTCAGTGCCTCATTCCTCTGTCTCGTGGGTGTCTACTGTTTGCAGGGAGGTGGCAGTTAGAAACAGCCCCAGCAAGCTGGTCCCTCAGCTCAAACTCTCCTCCTGCAGCTGTCAGATTGTTGTGGCTGTTGCTGAGAACGACTCGCCAGAGTTTCGCAAGCAGTCTGAGGAATTTTACAAAGTCAGTACCCGTGTCTGAGAACAGATGCAGTTAATGATTGGTGTATAAGAATAATTCAAGATAAATGATTTAGCCTTTAAAACTCTGATGCTTTGTTATGCCTTTTCTTTGCTCCACTGCTTGTTTTGTCCAATTTTCAATTAGAGCTCGTATTCAATTTGCAATACAAGAAAAGCTCCCAAAAATCTAAATTCAAGCTAGAAAATGCTTGTCATTGTTCTTATAAACAACATTTAGTGCATTCCTAAAATATTCTGTTAAATCATCTCCTGGCCTTGTGGTGATTTGGTGTCTCCACCCAACAAGCAACAGTCTTTTAAGTTGTAAACCACAAGCAATATGACCTGACTCGGAAACATGGGGTCAGGCTTTTTCGTGTGTCTTTTGTTGGTGGAAACATCAATATACTTTCTAAATATGTTGTTATGCAAATCTGATATTTCCTCTGCTCTTTTTCTTGCTACCTCTTGTATTTCCTTTTAAGACTTTGGAGGCGTCAGGGCTGAATGTCACCATGGAGGATGTGGCGAATACAGATCACTTCAGTATAATCGAGAAGCTGGTTGACGGAGAGTATCACCTAACAAAGGTAAATATGCAAACAAAACCAAAGTTATTGAAAATCATTATGAATGTCAGTGCTTTTTTTTTTTTTTTTTTTAACCACTCACCCTGTCTTTCAAAGCTTTATGAGATCAATATACTGTATTAACTTATAGCCTAGTCAAATTTCACCTCCTAACATTCAGCCGCTCTTTTACTAAAAAGACTAAAAGTTTACAAGTCAAAAAAGTATCTCTGTAGATTATCTTTTCATCAAATGTTCAACAAATGTAGTTGTTTTTAACCTAATTTCTGCACATGTTTATGAACTATACGTTTTGTCATTATCTTAATTTCCTGGTTTCTTTGTAGCTTCTCCTGAAGATGATGGGGAAGAGCTGAGGTGTTTTATCCATCATCTAATATCAACATACCTCGGTATCAACGAACACCTCTGAACAGAGCCATCATGCAGCAACACTGACTAAAATATGCATTGTTTCAGATTTGTACTCTGGTAAATCTACATTTTGTGTCCATTTGGATCCTTTGTCAGTGAGGTGCGGTGGATTGTTTTGATGTCTAGTTTCACTGTTTATGACCTTGTTCACTGTAGTTACTGCTTCTTTTTTTCTTTTTAAGGCCTAAGCTTTGTATGTTTCAGCCACCATGCTATGAAATTGTGTGCCTAAAACTAAGTCACATAAAAATGGCAATGGTAGTAAAACTATAATTTTAGATTCAGTTTGCACAATAGCTGTTAAGTAATCTCTTAAAATGTTTGTCCTGTCTCGTACCTTGCAAAGTCTATTGTTAGTTTTGGTATATTTCTGGTGTTTGTGTGTGAGTGGGTCTGTCTGGTTTGTGAATTGTATTTTTTGGGGGGGACAAAAAAGCTGGAGCCTATGTCAACAATAATGAAACCGAATGTAGCTTTTTATTATAACTTCCACAATGCTTATATGTCACCCAGGGAACTTTAATATGTTGTTGCTGATAAGGAAAATAATGTGTCTTTGCACTTTTTATTTGATTATAATCTAGTTCAAGAATCTGAATATTCAGGCGTTATTTTAAATTGCAGATACAACAAAACTGAAACTGATGCACATCACTACTTATGGCCATTACTCTAACATCTGACAAAACTGTTTACATGACTATGTACACTGTGTTCTGTTTATCGTTACTTATAAAGAGAACAATCAGTAAATGTTTATATTTGAGAAGCATCAAGTCAAATTTATCTTTGTTTATTGTTTTCTTGTTTAGGAAATGATTTAAACTTGGATACAAGTGTGCAAAGGTAGTGAGGGACTCTAAATCCATTACTGTACTTAGAAAACAACAATTACATATTTGTGCAGTATAACTAATGAAATATTCTATTTTAAAATATTACAGATACTTCATTTATATTGAAAACTATAAATGGCAACTAATCAGTGATGTTTTATTGTTCTAAAGGCAGTTCCAGCAGCAGTTTTACTGTACAGTTTGGCCCATAAGTTTTTGGATAGTGATAGATTTTAACTCAAGCAGTGATTGAAGTGCAGACTTTCAGCTTTAATTCAAGGGCTTTAACAAAAGTGTTTAAGGATTACAGCAATTGTTTTTCGCATAGCTGCTCATTTTCAGAGGCTTAAAAGAAAATGGATCAACTAGAGTAAGTCACAATATTAGGACTGTTTTGACCCTTGGATGAAAACCCTTCGCAGTGTTGTACAGCCTGAAGTCATGGACATCACCAAATGCTGTTTTTCCTCCCTTGAAATGCTTTGCCTATATTTTTTTTAAACAGTCAGTGTAATACTTTTTGTGTGTTGTTGCAAACCTAACTTTAGGCTATAGAAAAAAAACTTCACATTATAATGTAAATAATTCCACATATTGAGTACTAAAGTAATAAGGTAGTTTGATGCTAATTGATGCTTACTGTAAGTACCCCCTTAAAGTCTGGAAACCCCCTTGCTCTCTTTTAAATGACACAATCATGCCATAAATAAAAAATAAATACATACATAAAAAGTTAAAGTACATATTTTAAAATACAAATGTGTGTTGTTTTAACTGACGTAATAGTGTGGGTAATTGTGTACTCGGTTGGTTCAGGAGCGCTTTGTTTTGATCTTGAAGACTTTTAAAACGACGATAGTGACGATTACAGTGGTTATGATGACATTTCCCCTGTCAACTGGATATCAATAGTAAGTTAGTAGTCATGGTGATTACTGAGTCATAATTTGGATGTGCAGACGCCCAGTTTAGCTGCTCCGGAGTCTCGGAACAGGAGGAGCTAATCATCGAGAAACTTCCAACCGAACCGTCCCAACAAAGATGGACAGCCGGGCTGATTTACAGACTGTCTACACCAGGTGAGTCCTCAGAGTCTCAGCGAAGAACTCGACCTATTGAATCCTTGAAGCAGTTCACTGATTTTAAATCCGTTGGTAGTAACGTTAAGATGCTAGCCGACGCTAGCTGCGTGGCTAACAGGAGCCGGTGCGTTTCTAACTCTCATAAAGTGTTTAGCCAACTCTTATGTGGCTACTTTAAATACGTTAAATCCTTTAGGTTTTCACAGTTTGAGGCTCCAGTCTACGGCTGTGCTTGTGTGAGAAAGTCGGGGAAAGTTTACAAACTGCCAGGAGGTGATTTGTTTGGTTTTTTACAGGTCGCCTTACCTCTGCTTTCGTGGCCGTGTGGACGCAGGTAGGCACAAAGCGAAGGGGGGTGGGGGTTGGTTATTCAACAGGCAACTAGTGAGAGATGCCTCACTTTATCTGGGACTTCGGCGTTTTTATTTTGTACTTATTTACACGTTTAAACAGTGTCCCACGTATTTACTAGCTTAGAGAGATGTGCTGATCTGTCCCAGTTGTTAAGATGATGAGCAGAAAGGAGAGCAGCTAAACTAGTCTTTACAGTAGAGAAGTGAACGCAGAGGTTTACAAAACTGTAATATAAGACCATAAAACAAACAGGATATATTGTATTTATCCCAAAAGTTGTGAAACTCTCAGATTTGTTATAGATGTTAAATAATGAACACAACTTAAACAGAATAGATTGAATAGCTCTAATAAGTAGATTGCGATAAAGGTCATTACAAATAAAAAGGCTATATTATCTATATCTTATACAAATCATTTAAAGTTAAAATATATAATAATATAATATTAAATGGTTATTAAACACGTAGTTCGGTGTAACAGTTTAAGAAGTGGAAATCACAATTAAATACAATGCAATATATTATTGATGCCAAACCTTTAATCTGCCCAGTTTGTGATATATCAAACTTAGAAATTAAACAAAATATAGGTATTAATAATTGTGCAGCTCATTTTGCTTGTTAAGTGATATCACAACAGAGATGTGTGTCCTCAGACTGTTGTAACTTTATGGTCCTTCCTATGGTAAATGGAACTGCATTGTTTCTAATGAGCACCAGGAAGCAACTCAGGTGAAAACGGCCCTCTGCCCCTATGCTCTGACCTCAGCCAACCCTTTTCCTTTCAGGTCATACTGAGTAAAACTCAAAGTCTGTTTTATATAATTATGGTCATTTTGAGAAACAGAAAGGAGGATTACCCAGGATATCGTCACTGGTTAAGGATTTGTCAATCAGAAGACATTGTATAACAGGAATTCACAATATGACCACAAACCAGTGGGTGATGACACTTTGACTCCACCCATCTTTCGTACCATTCATGGTTCCAAGCTCAGCTTTGTTTATTCAGCCTTAAATAAAATAAGGAAGAAGTTGATGATTGGTAACTAGAGAAAAAATTATATTTTCCTTCATTTGCTCAGAAAGGTTTTATCTTGACCTTGAAAACAGGGTGTACTTCTTAGGTGATAGCTTTGTTAACACAGCTGAGAAATGACCAGGGTTTATTGGATGTTGAAAAGCAGTAAAAGTCAAGAAAATAAACTTTGTCATTCAGCCACTTTATAAAACATTGTTACAACGTCCTTTACAGAACACAATAAAAAACAGATCAAAGTAGAAATGGAGTTTGCCAACCTTTGTGCCTACCTTTATTTGTCTTTCTTGGTTCCCTGTTGTTCATTAGTTTTGTTAAAAATGTAACCAATATATTGTTGGAAAGCAAAGCTTGGTCCTGATTCAAAGTGCTTCAGGATGACCTAAAGGTTCATTGAGCTTACTCATCTGTAATTGCTGACCAGGGCTCCTTTGTTCTCCTCAATTCATTATTGAAACTTTCTTGGCTCTGCAGGAAGGGGGAGAAATTTGAGATAGCCGACAAGGAGAGAAAAGGAGGAGACTCTGCGAGATCAGATATTCATGTTGAACGAGGGCTGGCGGAAGGGGGGCAGGGAGTTTATTATGGGAAGCGTGCAAAGGAGAACAAACATGACAGTCGTGGCGTGTTCAGGAGTGAAGAGGCGAGGCAAGGGTGAATAATTGAACTCTTCATACAGCGTACAGTGAGGCTGTGTCTGGCTCTCCAGGGATGTGAATTACGGGCCGTATATTCAGTAGCAACAATGAAGGGTTTGTTTCATAGCCAAGTGTTTGCTAATTTGACATGTGTGTATTTGTGTATGTGGTTTGGAGAGCATGTTAATCGGGAAGTCTGAACTTGTCTAGAGAACTGTTCAAGAGGCAGTTCTCTGGAAAAACTGTGGTGGGAGATTATGTGAAGTATTGCAATAACACGAAACAGGATGTTGCCAAGTCTTTTCTGGTTTGCTTTTTTACACAAATTTTCAGATGCGAGTCTTTCGAAGCATAGGCTTGTTTCCTGTTTAATGTCGTTGCTCTTTAACAGAGAGAGACAGAGTTTTATTGATGCTGCTGTAATGATGCTGATATAATTTGACTATAATTTTGTTTTATTTAGTTCTGCTATTAGTGTTTAATTTATAGCTGTAGTAATGTTCACTGTTTAGGATTAAGTTCTGCGGGATTGCAAGTTGTTGTATAGCAAATAAAGTGAGGTAATCTTTTAAGATGTATGCTAAATATATTTTTTATAGTTATGATAATGGCACATTATAATACTTTATTAAGAGCTCAATCTGTTTTAGTGGTGCAGCTTTTTTTACTGTGCCGGTTTATCGAGGGTCACCTTGGCACCCTTTGCTTTTACAAAACAAACACACTTCTTGTGTTTCAGGCAACTTACTCACTATTTGTGAAACGCGCAAGTACCCATTTTTAACTGAGTAGACTGTGGTTTGTTAAAACAGTCACTACTATTGAACTCAACGTTTATTGAGCATGCTGTTTAACTTTTGTCTTGGTGTCAAGCTTTAATACATTCATTCACTTAATGTACTACCAGCAGAAGATGACAAACTGATACAACCACACCTCTACGCATCATAAAAACATGTTTACCAGGATAATTTTGTGTCACAGAGTAACTAAAAAATTGTGTTATCAGGAACTGAGCATCCCAGCCTTGCTTGTAACTGGATGACATTGCATTTTTCTTGTAATCTGATGAGCTTTTCTCTGAAACCACAGAGGGACATTGCTTAATTGCTTAGTGTAGTACATCCTGTACCGCCACCCAGATCCTAGCACATCTCCTGATGTGATATATGTTGCTGAATCGTATTTGCATACAAAACGTTAACTTATAGCCTGCAAGTCCCTTTATTCTGCACCCTCCTGTTCTGTCCTGTTCCTGTTCTGGTTGAGAGTAACAAAAGAAACATGAGGTTCACATTTTGGGGGGGGGGTTTAAATTGCACAAAGGCTTCCTGTATATAGTCTGATAAATCTGCCCTGTTGTTTTATGTTGCCTCTGTTTTATGTTACTATTAAACTGATTGTTTAAAGTCTTAAATGTCTAACCAGGGATGGCAGCTCCACATGGTTAAACATTGTTGTCACATAGCTCATATGCACCAATAATATTTACCAGTGCTTTCATTTTTAAATAAACTGATGAAATAAACGGAGCAAAGATCTGGTAACTGGCACCCCCTCCATTCAGAGGAAGTAGGATGGGTCAGCTACCTCCTCGTTTTTCTGCCTGAACAGCACAACAAAGACCTGCTGTGAATACAGAACAATAGGAACAAGAGCCCAGTTTTCCTTCTGGTCATCCTCTGCCCTTTGTTCATTCTTTCTATATATTTCAAGTTTTAGTCATTTTTCTACTCAAAATTCAAAGTTGAAAATTTGATTATCAGCTTTCATTTTTTTACAGTATCTCCTAATGCACATGAAATGTTTGACGTGATATGTGTCTATATCATTTGTTTATTGTTTCCATTATTAGAAAGGGAGAGCTCATCATCATCATCATCAGTTTCTGTTTTGAACATCAAAACGCAGTTACACAAATATTCAGTAAAGCTTGGTTTGAGCAGTTTCATGTAGGAACCGTTTTCTTTTCCAAGCACTTTGTTCTTTGTCAGATTTTGACTTTTTATATTTCATTTTTTAATGTATCCTCCATCATGCCCCTCTGCTGATAATCCTCTTTGTGTTCATTTCCAGGCCATAATCACCCCCAGACCACAGACAGTAAGGATGAAAAGGATACTTCAATGACCTCCTTTGGCATGGCTGCGCGAGGCCTCCCTTTGGCCTTAGCATCCATGACTCAAACTGCTACCTCCGACACGCGCTTCCACCCAAAATGGCGAGCGATTGCCGTGGCGACCCTGTTCGCTTTAGTGCTCATGTTATATTTGCACCGGACTGTAGAGGACTGGGAGCGTCCAACCAAAGGTTACTACCGGAACAGGGTTCACAGCTTTCAAATGCTCGATGAGGGTGAAGATGACTTATTCAGGGACACCAATAGACAAATTGCACGAAAACCCGGCCGCCAGCAGAGGAGGGAAAAACCGTACAATCACACATATCCTTTGAGTCCACCTGAGAAGACGCTGCACGGCACCCGTTACCGCATAGGAGTGATTGCAGACTTGGACAAAGCGTCACAGAGCTCAAAGGATCAGACGTGGTTCAGCTACATGAAAAGAGGTCACCTGACTGTTTCAGCCTCCGGCGACAGACTGGAAGTGGAATGGGATGCGGAGACGGTCACCCTGGAGAGTCATCTGGCTGAGAAAGGACGAGGTACGTGAACTCAGTGAAGGAACTCAGATATATAGTTGCATCTAAATATTGTTTTTGTGCTTACATGCGTTAACTCCTCTGCAGGTATGGAGCTATCTGAGCTGGTAGCATTCAATGGTCACCTGTATACTGTGGACGACCGTACAGGTGTGGTGTACAGGATTGAGGGCAACCAGGCAGTTCCTTGGGTTATATTACCTGATGGTGATGGCTCAGTCTCCAAAGGTGAGTCCTTTTCAAAACTCCTGAAGTCTCAACTCACAAACTCCACAGTGCTCTTCACACAGCTTCACACTGGGAGCATTTCAGAAGCAAATAGTTTATTCTCTGTTTTTTTTTTTGTTTGTTTGTTTGTTTGTTTGTTTGTTTTATCTTTCTGCCATGTTCTGCACCTGCTCTGTGAAACTTGATCTGGCTTCTCTGAAAGATAAACCTGGTGTTGAAAAAAATACACCAGGAAGTGTCCCTGTAGGGAGACTTCTGAAACGTGCCAGAATGCAGCGCTTTCAAATATAATGTATTACTGGGTTTATAGGGATCTTTGTGTCCAGAGGAGGAAAACAATCTGAACAATATGCTGGTCTTAAACAACACAATATGGTTCTTAATGAAATAAAGACAGATAACAGCAGCTGTGGATATGCTAAGGTGGACTAAAGATGGCCAATTAAGTTGGTAAATTAAAAACACAACACGGACTCCAAAACTTCAGGGATCATTTCAGGGAACAGTCACCCTGTTGAGACTATTCAAACCAGTTTATAATGCAATAGAGAGACTGCTGTAATGAGACTTGTGATGCACTCTCCATTGGATGTTAATGGTCCATTTATTTAGCAATAATTCAGCGTACCACTGCTCATGTAAATCCACTATTAGGCAATAAATTAAATATGATAAAACTAAACCACTGCATGGTAGTCCACTTGGTTAGTCAAACACCGGCGCTGTCAAAACCGTTTTTATTTGTTCATTTGAAAATAAACAACCAAAAATGTCTCACTCGTGTCTTTTGTTTGCTTGTGCAGGTTTCAAGGCAGAGTGGCTTGCAGTAAAGGATGAGCACCTGTTTGTTGGAGGCCTGGGGAAGGAATGGACGACGACTTCTGGGGACGTCATCAACAACAATCCCGAGTGGGTAAAAGTTGTTGGCGTCAGTGGGGAGGTGGAGCATCAAAACTGGGTGCCGCACTACAACGCCCTACGGAGTGCAGCGGGGATCAAACCACCAGGTACTGTTGGGTGTGTTTTTGGGGTTTTTTTTGTTTTGTTTTGTTTTTCAGTACAGTCTGAATTAGTAATCAGGCTTTATTTCTATTTATTATTAAACTTCTTGAAGACCAACTTATAACCTATAAATTTTGCTAAATGCTTGTGTTATATTTGCCTATTTAATTAAAACAAAGATCGCTGATTTACTGCTTTGAGGTTTTTTGTTTGTTTGTTTTCGTTAAATACAGATTTCATATCTTTTTTTAGGACTAGTATTTGCAGTTTTCTTCTGAAACTACAGTCAGACCAAAATCAAGCTAGCCCAGTTTTCCCTGTTAGTGTAGCGAAATGCAGACGGAGACAGGAAATGTTTTGTAATCCTCTCATGAGCCAGCATGGCTGCTATGATGACAACAGCAGTCCACAAAGTTGTACGTTACCAAAAAACCCAGCTTAATCCAACTTTTGGCTCTTTTTACCTTATGTGCATCCAAAAACATTTGGTTTATGGGCTATTTAACAGAACAATAACACACGGGTAACAGTCAGCACTTGTTAAGTAAGAGGTCAACTACTTCTCTCTCACGAACTGGCTAAACATCAGAGAAAGTTGCACTTTTGTCCTCCCAACACTTTGTTTGTCTTCTGATGTAGTCAACTAGATATGCGAGCTAAGACTTCCTGTTCTGTGGGAATGTCATTGTTAACTGGAGGGAAAAAAAATTATACAAAGCTAAGTTGTCTTCAGACAATTGTGAGTGGGTTTCATTCCCCTTTTGCATTCCACATGGCTCTCACATGTGATTTAAAATAGAAACAAAAAACTGAATCCTTGTCGTGCCAGTAATCCTGCCTCTTGCCCACAGCTACTGCTATACATTGGTTTATAGAGACTAAAGACTTTAAGCATAAATTGGGTTTGAATTCTGGTATAACTGGGCTTAATGGGAAGCTTGATAATGTATAAAAGCCAAATTCAGGCACAAAACAAAGAACTTAAAAAATTATTGAAACCAAAATATTTGGGAAAGGACAAAACATTGTGAAACGTGGAAATTACCTCCAACTCCTTGCATTAATTTCCGTTACCTTTCCTTGCTCTCTAGGCTACCTTATCCACGAATCAGCAGCTTGGAGTGAGCGTCTCCAGCGGTGGTTCTTCCTCCCTCGCCGTGCCAGTCACGAGCGTTATGAAGAGACGGCAGATGAGCGGCGTGCCACCAACCTCCTCTTGTCCTGCCCTGCAGACTTCCGCTCCGTCAGCGTGCAGCGCGTCGGACCGCTCAACCTCACACGTGGCTTTTCCTCTTTTAAATTTGTCCCAGACACAGATGATCAAATCATCCTAGCCCTAAAATCAGAGGAGGATGCAGGCAAGATTGCCACCTACATCATAGCGTTTACACTAGACGGCCAGGTGCTGCTGCCTGAGACAAAGATAGGAGATGTAAAATATGAAGGGCTAGAGTTTATTTGAAAGAGGCAGTGCTGAATATGCAGCGTTCCTGTGCAATATGATGTGACCAGATTCAGAGATTATATAACTACGATTATTGAGAGACACAAGAAAAGTTAAAAGGGAAACCCTGAAGCATAGCTGTGTGTCGCCAACCACAGACTGGCTGACTGATGCAGCCAAAAAACAAATGTTTTTTAAAGGCATTACTACTAAATTTAAGCACTGCTACATTGCCGTCTAAACTTCCTGGTTTGACACTACTGAGTCTGTTAAACACCAGATAAGATGTAGATCTCTTTTCCTGCAGCCGAACTCTGCTGGTCAGACACTCAGGGAAATGAGACGAAGGAGCATTTAAAAAAAATAAAAGTTAATGTTCTTACATTACTTGAAATATTTAAGGTCACTTGTTGCTTTGGATTTTATTTATCCTTTTGGATACACTGAAGTTTTGTCATAATAGAAACGGAACAGGCCCAAACATGTTCACTTGTTTTATTTCGGCTGTTCTGTAAATGATAAGTTATGCTACGTAAGTCTAGAGGGGTGTACTATGCAGCAAAATTAAGCAGGTAGTGAGATATGTTGAGTTTGGAGTCAAAGTTTTCAGTGCCACAAAGGTGACTTCTCTTTTACTTTCGTTTGAGATCATTATGCTGAATGTAATCTGGGTTTTACAGACCAGCATGCTTTACTCACTTGTTCTCTCATGACATGAGTGACACGTTCCCGTCTGAGGGGATACATTTTTATATAGAACCTGTTCAGGTACTACTGAACAACAGTGCAGTAAAGTTACTGTGGCACAAACTGTGTCAACTTAGTGATGCAGAAAATGCATAAATAGGTGTTTTTCTTTGGTCTTACTTTGTTACTAAGTCTAGTTTACACTGTCAGTATGACATCCTGATAGAAGACCAGAGAATTGATTAGTCTGTAATTATTAAAAAGAATATTCACTTAAGAAAATCAAATATTCACTTTAATTCGGTCCAAAGACTGAGTGACCCATATCGTCTTTATTATGAGGAATTCTCAGACTCAAATGCAGTTTGAATGTTTAAATGGATCCAGTTTAAAAGCTGTAATACGCAGCTGTCATATTAGAAATAAACCCCAGCATGAAGTTTGCACTGCATGGAAAAATGGCCTAATATTTTTTTTATGTTCTTCATATCACTTCATGACCCATTTCTGCTGATTGGCACTCCATCTGTTTATGTTGTGCAGAACAGAGTCAAAGGACATCAAATGCCCCCCTTTCATGTGAGTGAGCACAGAGCCTGAAGCAAAAGGCCTAGGGCTGCTTTCACAGTTTTCAGATCTTCCAGCAGGATGTCACTCTGATTTCTTTGCTTCATATCATTGTTACCGCTTTAGCTTTAGTAAACCTGTAGACTTATTGATTGTTTGGATTGAAATGTATAAGGCCTTTAATTATGTGGTCTAGTTACAAACAGGTGTACAGTTCTGTACACACACACTATAACCTCTTCTTTGATTTTCTGTTAGCCAATCAGAACACAACCAATGGATTCTTGGTTTCTTTTGGCTGGTTGATGGTCAGGCTCTACGTCTTTTTTTTTTTTTTTTTTTAAACTTTGACCATGGTGCCAGCAAGAGATCTTGCACTCCACATGTGCTTTGCTTACTGCTGCCCAAACCATTGAAAATAAAGGTTTTCAGATCACAGGGGTACTGTCCACATGTTCTGTGTGTAAGCTTGTCTGAGCACGCGCGCGCGCGCGCACACACACACACACACACACACACACACACACACACGTTAATTGTCACAGAAGGTTTTGTCAAACCAGTTTATGCAAAGAAAGCCTGGCTAAACCAAACTTGCTTCCTATTACACCCCTCAACTTAAATGTTGCCTCACATGTGTTGAGTAATTATGATAAGCTTCTCAAGCCAGAGAACATGAGAATCACCAGCTGTTTAATGTAACCATAATTAATCATTAATATATTCCCTGTATCTCCTGAAAAGATATTAAAATTTCTTCTTTAAATGTTCGCGTGTGAATCGTGATTTAAACAAGAAACCAAAATCTTAATGTTGCATTTGCTGTGGTATTTCGTGGCATTTATTTAAATTGATGAAATCAACAAATTCATCTAAAAAATACCTATACAGTTTCATGTCTACAAAATCAATAGTAATGCATTACACTTTTCACTATACATTAGTTAGTATTCAGGTTTAATCAGGCCTTTCAAAGACTTGGCAATGGGTGCAGGATCACACCGACTAACTGCCTAACGTGAAAACATTTTGAATCAGTTTAACGTGCTCCAAAGTTAGCGATTAGTCACATAGCAGATGTTTATCTCCTCACTTCAAACCTGAGGAAAGTACTCATGAGCAGTCTTTTTCACAGGCTTGTTGCCATTACAAGGATGTCTTGCGGTAGCCCGTCCATCTGTACGAGTTTGAAGGAGCCCAGTTTGGAATAAAAGTCGAGCATCCTCCGATTGCTCTGCCTCAACTCACAAAAGGCTCCTCTGGACCCTAAAAGGAAAACAACAATGGTAACTTTGGAGTTTTGTAATAAAAGAAGCAGTAAAGGCTTTATGTGAAGTATTTCACAGATGCAAATATTCTGAGACTAACTTTATAATTAGGTATATATGGGGGTGTTAAAAGGAGACCATTATGCTTTTCCTTACTTTCTTTCATACATATACTGTTAGAATGGTGGATACACACAATCTTAGAAAGCATTTCAAATCATAAGGTCAGCATGTGTAAAAGTAACCCCTGTGAGCTAACAGCGTGGGCTTCAACCTGCTCAAAACACTCAGTTTCCTACAGTTTCTCTTTATGTTGGTGACTGCATGCATCCCTAGTATGGTCATCAAAGCCCCACCTATCTCCTGCTTAAACTTTCTTTCTGAGTGGGGCAGCCAATCAGAAGAAAGCTGCCTTAAATTGAGGGTAGCTTTAAAGACAAGAGGAGCTAAATGTCTTATTTCATACAGGATGAACCTATACACAGCATAAGATTATTATGAACTGTGATTCATGCAAAGCCACTCTACTGGAACCCAAGAACAAACACGTGGAGTTGGAAAAGACCATAACTGGGCCCTTAAACAGCAAAGCAGCTTATATTATAAACATCTATAGATATAGAATGATATTGCTCTAAATGGAACAGCTCCCCCATGTGGTTAATTTTCTGCCTCATAAACCTCAACATGTGTAGTTAGATGAGCTTCATCCAGAATGATCAAGTTCACAGTGTGAAATCTCGACCTACCACTGCTCCTGATGGAGGACAACAGCTGACCAATCATGCGCTTGGCTGGAGAAGGATCAGTGACCCGAGGGAGCATTTCCAGAGCAATCACTGAGGGGAACTCTTCAAACACTGAACCACTTACTGCCCTCTGGAGTTTGGAAATAGAATACAGTCAAGTGACAGCATTTATGGTTATACTGCATTCTAGAAAAATTTTCACATCTTGCTTTGAATCACCTGGATCTTGGCTGCAGCTGGTTTGGCATCAGTGAGGGCCAGTGCATAACCACACAGCCCGAGGTCATCCTCCAGGATAAGACCACAGAGAGGGGAAGGAGAGATTTCACCTGCTGACAGGCTGCAATGCCCCAGGGGAAAAAAAATAAGATGAAGAAGAAGATCACATTCACAGAAGAAAAAAAAGGTTTATCATCCCAAGTAATTTAAAGTGCGTTTTAACAATATACCCGCTGTATATAAAAGATTGCTGTAGCCATCGTGACATCACTTGTTACTATCTTGGCGTTTTGAAAATAGACGTTCAAAGTGAGGGGCGGTTTTTCCTGAGAACTCCAGGAGTGATGCATGCTTCCTGCTTGTGCAACTTGTGAATCACGTGGACTTTTAATAACGAGGACCACAGTTTCCAAAAATCAACATGAGGAAAGTGGTTAGTGAGGTCACATCACTAACAGAGTAGCTAACTCTTACCCGTCACTGATAAGTGGAGACTGAGCCATCAGAGCAGAGTTGCCTTCTCCTGCTTTCTGCATCTCCCTGAAAATCCTCTCTACCTCTGGCTAGAAAGAAAAAGAAATACTTCATAACATCACTCCTAAATTTTAATCGAGAGAAAACTAAACCACTGATGATCAGCATCTTCACCTTGTCCTCAGGGCAGTAGGGTCGTATGCAGTAAACTGCTGTCATGGGAGGATGTCTGAACAGGTCTCTGTTTCCATGTCCTGGCAGCATCCTCTGTTGGTGCGGAAGAAAACAGACACCAGAAACCCAAAGTTTAAAAATCAGGTGGATCTAGCATCACAAGGTGGTGCTTATATAGTATGCACTACAGATGGATGGTAACGTTAAAGATGAAAACAATAAAATAAACGTTTGTGCACATAATCACTGTAGCCAGAAGCTCAGACATGAGATTGCTTTTGTTTTCACGGACATTTTTTATTTTTTTTTAAACTCTTGGACCTTGATGATGTCAAAGCACACAGCACTGGAGGCCCCGCCCACCTTTATGAAGGGCAGCCAATCAAATGAAAGCTGGCTTGAACGGAGAGGATATAAAGCAGCTTGTTTGAGACAGTATAAGAACCAAGGAGCTGCACCAAGGCTCAGTATAAGATAAAGATGCATTATTTTGAAAAGTGAATAATGCAAAGCTACTCTAGTAGAGTGCAAAAATAAAATATGGAGCACAAAATATCAGCTGGAGACCTTGCCTTGTTACTGACTATTATCACTGCTGTGATTTTATATAACAACTCACTGCACTGCTTAGTTTACCTGGAATTCTCCAGACAGGCCTCCTCTGAAGCCCCAAGGTTCAGGATCATCGTTCAATAACTGGGCTGAGGGTTGGCTGTGGCCTCCTGTGGAAGGCAACACACAACAAAATATTAAAAGCTACAGTAAGCAGCTTCAGTTCACACTTTCACGCCTCATTTAACCAAAGCATAATCACTTCTTTTAAAAAGATGGAAGGATTAATCATCGAGCTGATAATCTAAATGCAGTTCCCTGCTGATTTTCATGGCTGCTGCAGTTTTTGTTTGGAAAAAAAAAATGCTTACAAGCTCATCTCTTATTACAGGTAACAGTGGGAGCAGAAAATCACACAAACTGAATGAGATGCTCCAGCATTTCTTAGTTTCAGAATTCTTCAAAGTATTCAAGAAATATTTGTTTATATAGATGTAAATTTGAGTTTATTGTTGTTTATCAAGTGTTATTTTGTCCGTATTGTGATATGGATATTTTGCTACTAAGGGGTCCGCAACGTCTTCATCTATAGAGCAGTCTTTCAGTGTTGGTTTGCAATATGAGTGGAATATATTCGTTTTCTCACCTAGTGTTTTCACGTAGGCTCGAGCCAGGCCGACCCCACTCTTGATGTCACAGATGTAGTTGTACAGATCGTACAGGATGCTGCGGTTCGGGGCATTTGACAGGCGGTTGAACATCTGCACCACTGCCTCACACATGTTATCGAACTGCTGGGCTCTTGAGCACCACTCTGCTGTCTGAAAAAACATAAAACTGCTGTAGGAGGACAACATGTAGAAAAATGATCTGCGTTTGTATATAAATATAAATACTACCTTGTCTGTCTCTGCAGCTGCTGCCTGACTTTGGTTTTTGAGCCAGTCCAGCTCCTGCAGCATGGTCCTGGCTGTGGTACCGTGTTCGTAGGGCAGGTAGAAGAGGTCTGACAGCAGCTTCAGGTCATCCAGGGTCAGAGGCTCAGCTGTGTACAATGGGTTCTCCCCGGGACCAGGAATGTAGGGGCTCTCACCCATGTCAGTCTGCATGGGCTCCTCTTCTGATGACTCTTTCTTCAGGCGAGGATGACAAGGGCCTGGAAGCACAGACATACCGTGTATTAAAGTGACAACCACCCATTCATGTCTTTTAATATCATTAAACCATATTTAATAAGACTCTACCTCCTAGTTGATCTGTGCTCATGAACTCCTCCAGCCAGTCAGTGAGGGCCAGATTCAGGGCTTTCTGTGGGCTGTAGCAAGGATCCTGCTCTTCATCACCTGGAGGTGAAGGTCAGACAAAGTGAGACAATGTTTAAGCTCCGTGACCTCACAGACAGCATGGAGTGGATTTCAGCAAACACAACGACAACACTGACAGCATTTCCTGTCAAAACTGGAAAAATAAATCTGCACCATAAATAGATGTTGATGTTGCTTCCACAGACAACAGTGATTCAGGCATTGTGGGCCTTATGAAGCAAAAAATACTATTCAAAATATTCCAAAAAGTGCATGTTTTTATTTTTAAATATGACATCTGACTGTCATGGCGTGGTTGTTGGTGTCAGGCAGGCTGAAGTACTCTTTGTGGAAAAAAGGAAAAGAAAAAACCTTGTTGATGCCAGAGGAGAAAGGCCAGACTGTTGGCTTTGAGCACTCCTGAAAGCATCAGGAGCAGGTTGGGTTCACTATATTATGATTGCAAATTACTTTCTACACAGTCGCCGAATGCACTTGAGGGTAGTCCTGTAATGTTTTACCTTTTACAAAAGAAAAAAAAATGCATTTGTTAAATCATGACTAACAGAAACTCACCCATCTCCACATCCCTCGGTGCTCCTTCGGCAGGTGCTTTACACCATGTCGCCAGAGTGTGAACGGCCACGAAGTTTGGGTAAAACTCACAATTGGGATTTGTGAGCACTCCTTTCAGTTTTGGGATCAGATCAGTGGGTCTATCCTTTTTGAAAAAAAAACAATAATATATAGACACCGAAGTCATACTGGTACATACACACAATCTAACACTGTTAAAATAAAGAAGAGAAAAAAATAACCTTATAGGGTCCAAGGAAAAGCCTTTGGGGATCATAATCATTGGCATGAATGTTGTCCCAGATGACTGGTGCCCTCTTCAGGACTGAGGATACCTCCTCTATGGATTCAACTGAGATTTTGTGGGATACTACTTTCGGACCTAAATAAATGAAAAGAGAAAAAAAAAAAAAAAGTAAAAACAAATGAATAATTAACCTTGGGGAAATTCAAGATCATGGAAACAGGTTCAGGCTCCGGCTGAGTGTAATCTTACCAGTCCACAGTACGTCAATGCCAGGCAGGAGCTTCTCTCCCACAGTGTTCAGGTACGAGGACTGGGTTACACTGGGCGTACAGAAGACAGCACAGTAATCTGAAGATAAAGAGTGAATCATTAAGAAACTGTTAGAATAATGTGTATTATTTTCTACCACAACGCTCCCTGTTTAACTGGACTGTAACTGGACTGGACTGTTTTGCTGTCTGACCTGTAGGACAGAAGAGGAAGACTTCGGGCTCTCCTAAGTGCATGTACACCTCGTTAGTGATGGCCACTTGAGCGTGGGCGAAGGAGCTGAAAGCCTGCTTGTCAGCTGGACACATCTCAGTCTCGATGTCGTCAAAGAGTAAAGAGAAAGACCTGCATCCAAACTCCTTGACCTAAGGAACAAATGCAATTTCTGTCAGTGAACAGGGTCAAGTGAAAGTTAGCATCGCTTTGCTTACAGCCAAAGACATAAAAAAGGCTATTCCACCTAGAATTACACCAGCCTCTGTATAATTTTACTACCCCACTTTAAATGCATCCATTTTACTGCTAAGCGATGCGCTGTCCAAACCCTCGGAGAGCCACAAAGTGAGATACAACCAATTGTAAATTATATTATATTTTTTCCTGCTGCACCCATCACCTCTGCTTCCAAAGTCCTACCTGATCTAGTTTCCTCTTCAGGGCAGCTACTTCTTTAGGGTTGGAGAAAGTAATGTCCAGACCGGGTGAGATTGCATAGACAAACTCGACGTCGTGCTGTTTCGCTGCTGATATCAGGCTCGTTAGTTGTTCTATGAAAAGAAAAGGGACAAAGAAGAAATGCTATTTGATGATGCAGTTCACAAATTCTGTTAATGATCCCTTTACTTCCCATCAATGAACAGATTTAAAACAAAGAGTTAAAGTGACATGGTTTAACCTTAGATTTAGCTGCTTTTGTGTCTGCGGGTAAACTTTACGAGCATATTCAGGTGGGTCTGAAGTCCACTGACTTGATGAGGGGTCATCAAAGACATGATAGTTTGAAAAAGGTTAAACATCAAATCGTCTTCACTGCACTTCAGATTGTAATGTTTTTGATAACATCCAGACAGTCGACCCAAAGACACTTTAAACACGTCTGAGGAGATAACAATGAGTCGTAAGGGGATGAGTTCGGAAGAGCTGACAACTGCAAAATGACCAAACTTTTATTATTTTATGTGTTTTAATTTACTTTTATTGTTTGGGGCTCAATTTATAACCAGTTTTGCACGACTATTGAATGAGGACACAAATATGCAAACGTAAATTTAAACACATAGTTTCAGTTCCATTGCAGTTAACTGGACGTTGCAAATTAGTAAGTTGTTTAACATACTGAGGAGGAAATATAGTACAGATTTTTTATTTAAATGAGCATTTGTTAAGGTAGCGGACTATGCATGGAGGCACAACTGCTCTGCTAATAGATCAGGGAATTAGTCAGTGTTACTTTTAAAATTAAAGACAGGTGCAACTGAATTTCATCTGCTTCCAAGACCAGAAAGATTTTTGTGGTTTTGAATTATGAATGTGATACGGTGAGACTCACCCGCCTCCTCAGCAGCGTACAAGTCTCTCCAGTACATCCTGTGTTTGTAATCATCCTTGGGGGCGTACAGGTATGTGTTCAAACCCCACTTCTGTTCCCTGCAAAACCAAAACATTATGCCAGAGGTTAGAAATTCTCAGTGCAACATTTCTAAATGTTGGTGCGCATCCTGATCACAATAAAAGCTTCTAGTAATAACAGAAAATAACAACCGAAATTGCCAGTGTAAGAGAAACTGTGACAAAAGCAATGCAAATCACCTGCATGTCATTTCATTCATGCAAATGATTCAGCGCAACTAGTTTTGGATATTTAAAAAATAAATAAATACATGAATATGAATACAGCTATATTACATATGTCAAAATCAGCAGCTGCTGTTATTACTTTCAGGAAGTGTGTTCATCATTTCCAGTTCTTCGCTTGACCACATACCTCTTAAACAGCTCTGTTCTTTGCTCCATAGTCCACGGCCGCCCATAAAAGCCTGTAACAAGCAAAGGCCGACTTACACTTCAAAACGCGTCATCTTGCCAAAAGTGATCAATGCATGATTGATTAATCAGATGCATTTTAAAGCGGGCAGCTGGAAGCATTCAAGAACCTGTAATCTAGCGGAGCCGCGGTGTTTGGGCCCCTGATTCCGGGTCTGCTCACCTTCTACTACGCCGCTGATGAAGCGCCCAGTCCCGGTGACGGGCTGTCGCTTGGTACTGTCCGGTTTCGACATGTTTTCCTGTAATATTCAGTCTCTTCCTGCTTTTTGACTTTAACAGTGCTCAGTCTGCAGCCCCAGCTGTGACACGGCGATACTGACAGTCATGCTTCTGCACGCCAACCTTTGAATTGATTCGCATTTATTGCACCTTATTCTCACGCCTGCGCAGTAACAGTCGGGTTAAACACCTGCACCTGCTAACGCCAATAAATGTCCAAACCTGTAAATGGTCGAAACAGAATCGCAGCTATTGTTTGGTGCGGATAACTGAAGTTCAGCTCATATTCAGACGCATGTGTCTGACTACCGGGTGGACGTCTTAAAGGGACAGTGTGCCCACAACTTAAAGGGACAACACACCAAAAAAACACGCAGGATGCCACAGGAGTTCAGTATCTTCTACTAACTTTTACAGTTTTAATTTCAACATACCCGGTAGTTTGTTAAGTTAGTTTCGAGAGGGTTTTTTTTTTTTTGCTTCGTTTTAGTTTTTATTCTTTAAAATTTTTTATTTTATAGCTTAGGATTTATTAGATTTAGTCTTCTTAATTATAGAAATATGTAACAAGCAACCTTATTAAGTACACCTGTCCAGCAGCTGCTTGTAAAGGTGGGTGAATCGATCCAAGCATCTATACCAAAGCTGGTCTTGGTGTCTAACGTGACAGGATCGATATTTTGTTTTTATCTTTGAAGTTCAGCATGTAGCCCACTAAAGAGTTTTAAATAAACGGTTTTTTGTTGTTTTTTCTTCTTCTTCTTCTTCTTCTTCTTCTTGTTTTTTTTAAATGAAAAACATCTAACTCAAGATCTGAACGTCTGAAACTTTCTGTGTTGATTGTCACATCTATTTTATTTACAGCCTATAAGACATTTACAGATTGACCCAAAGTGATTTAGAGAAAGGCACATTTATATTCCAGGTAAAGCGGAAAGAGTGAAAGGTGTGGTTTTTGTATTAATCAATAATTATTGTGGATAGTAAAAATCACCTACCCTTAATATGTGTTCAGAATTTGCACATTAGTGATCCCATAAATCATGACACAATGCTGGCACATTGATAAGCTGCGTTTATAGATTAAAAGTATCTGTATCGGTACCGCTATTGGTAGTACTGGTCCTGTATTTACTTGGTATCAGATTGATACCAAAATTTGTAGTATTCCACAGCAGTTTATGTAAATAGCCAATCACACTGCAGAAAATCAATGCATTTAGGCCTCTAGACACAATCAAGACAACCCTCTGAAGTTCAGACTGAGCAACAGTTCAAACATGGCTGGTTGTGCCAGAAGTGCTGGTAATTTTCCCACACAAACGCCTGGAGGGTTTAGAGGGATGCTCTCTTGGTGAAAATGCCTTGTTGATGGAAAAGTCAGCGGAGGATGGCCAAAAATAACCATTTGTTACAATCAAGGTATGCAGAAGAGCATCTGTGAACAGACAACCTGTTGAACTTAGGTGGGCTACAGCAGCAGAAGACCACAGCAGTGCCACTCCTGTCAACTCAAAGAACAGGAAACCGAAGCTACAGTTTGTAGGGAAACACAAAAATGGGAAAATGGAAGACTGAGAAAATGTTACCTGATCTGATGAGTCTCACTTTCTGCTGTAACATTCAGATGGTAGCGTCAGAATTTGGCATGAAAGCAGCAAGTCTCGTATCAATGGCAGGATGGATCCAATGGCCTTATATCACACTCCCTTATCTTTTCTGAGGCACAAATTGCAGTTCTTCTTGGTGGTTAATTACTGAAATAAACTGTCTAGATCTTTGCATATAAATCAGCAAACTCTTAGGAGATCGCCCAAAGAACTCCCACTCCCTCTCCTGAGTGTGTGGTTTTGCGAATGCATCATCAGGCTAATTTTACTTTTGTCCACAAAATTGCTGGCCCTAGTTTTTTGAAGCCAGGAGAGGATTTTGTGAAGGTGGAAACTAAGTCTAATCCTAAGTACTGTGATGATGTTAAGATATGTGAACAGTCTATAACAGTAAAAACACCTTCGGGAGCTCAAAATCTCAATATATCAAGTCTCCACAGATAATCGGTGCTTTCTAGTGATTCTAGATGTAGATTTGTTTTTTAATATGCCAGCAATTTAACTAGAGGTGCAGTCACTATCAGTAGCTGCAGTCCAGAATCACAGGTTTGAATCAGAGGTTTTTTTTAAGGACTTTTTAAAAATGGGGTCACTGCATAGACCAAAAGAATCACTTGTGTGGGCCCACGGGAAATTATTTTTATCAGAAATAAATTTCACACTTGATGACAATCACTTGAAAATTCAACAGGTTATGATTTTAATTGTCAACCAACAATTAAGGAGACCCCCCTGAAAAACATAGCAGCCAGATTAATGCACAAGATGAAACTGAGGTAATGCAGTGTGGTTACAGCCATAAACATTGTTTATTCTATGTAAAGAGCAATATATCACACCCTTTATTTCAAGCTCACCAATGGAAAGTAAAGCAGTGGAGCAAACCACTGTCTGCCACAATTATCTGAATCTGGTTCAACATCAATATGATGTCACCAAATTTTTCTTGTTTAAGTTTGGTATATGTTTGTGAAGATATAAACCTAAATGTCTAATAAACTACTAGAACAGATCCAAATGTGGACCTACTGGAAAAGCGAACCCCTTCTACATTAGTCCAAGCCCTCAAAAACGTTCATTTAAATCAGTCCGGAACAGCAAAGAAACACACAAATCAACACAATAACAAAAGCTCCTTGTCAGAGGTAAATATCTACATGAAAATATCTAATCACTCAAATTAACCCAATTAAACAGAAAAACAATAAATTGCCTTTTTTTTCCTATACAAACTTTTCTCAGTGCTCTGGAATGCCATAAAAACCTTGTCTCACATCAAGTGCTACATGTCAACTTTGCACACGAGTAACTGCATGCATACAAGTGCTACATATTTGTACATATAAACTGTACACATAAAAACCTTCATGCATTTACAATATAGTTTAGCAAAACATGAAAACTTATAACAAATTTTTCCCATGCCAGTATGAGCACAATGCTCTGAGGTTTGTGGAAACCCCCCCCCAAAGCAAACGCTTCCATCTTTTCTTGCAGGCTTGTGCTGCCGTTCGTCCTCTCGGCTCTGCTACGTCTTTAATCCTCTCTGAGCCTGCTTCAGCAACGAATCAAAGTCGAGGTCCTCAAAATTGGTCCTGGAAGGAGACGCTTCTGCGTCTCTGTTTGCATCTGAGAAAGAGAGGGATGTGCACATGTTCACTGCTGTGTTCAACAAGGTGAGGAGGGTGTCCGCGATGTGTATTACAATATAGTGTGAGAGCACTGTAGCAAATACAGCTTTTGTGAAGCTTCAAAATTTCAGTTTATGATAACACTGTTGCACTGTAACTCTTGACCAGCAGTGACACTGGCCCTTAATCCAAGTGCTTCATCTGTCTGCGGAGGCTGCGTGATAACCCACTCTGCCCTCCTTCCCTCTCAGCCTGTCTGTGTGGCCATTCTTTTCTATGAGCACTGGAGAGGATGTGTGCCTTATTTTCAATCAGCAACACCTGGGCCCAGAGCGCCGGTGCTCTACAAAAGTCAATAGGGATTAGTTGCTGGGTGGCTCTTCTCCCTGAAGTTTGGAATGTTGAGAGCTGCTTAAAAAGAGCAACAAGCCCGTTTACTGGACCTGTGTGGATTCAGATACAGATGCACCTTCACCTTTACGAGGTGCCTCGGGCACAAAAAGTTAGAAAATCACTCACCTAATCAATTTATAACTTACACTAGTTACACCATCATCATCATTCATCTTTCTGATTAAGGTTTTCAGCTGTACACAGCGGTGCTGTTGGAGTGCTCTATTCTCACAGAAGTGAGGGGACTGTCATGATAGACTCGAATCGAACATGCTAGTCCTGCTGGGAAGTCATGAGGTGTTTTAGCAGTTGGTTTCTGTTTGTAATGAAACAGATTAAATGTGCACAATTATCATATATGACACCAATTTTAATTCCCAACCCAAAGAGATGACCCACACTGTACAGGTTGGGACACCTCTGTGGTGGCATCTTTGGCTCTGCAATTAAAGAGCATAAACAACAGTTGACTGTGTTGGGTATAAACCCCCTTTTTCCTGTGCTGAACATCTCAGCCTCATGTCTGAACGAGTACTGTGGTTTCTTTCTTTTTTTTTAAATGCCTGAGAGCAACTTTCAATTTTAATCTGTTGGATTTAGTCACAATGTCACATCTCTACAACTTCAATTATTTTTTTTGGTTGTCTGGCTACATTTAATATGATTTCATTCAACTTCTTTTTTTTCCTTTATTCTGGTAGAATAAACCAAGCGTGTTTCAGCCTGTCCATTCTCACACAGCTATTATAAGGCCAGGCTTTTATTCCTTTGTGGACGCCACAGATGAGTAGTTGTTCTTATTATATTTGTAGACCTTAGCTTTAAGCCTGCATGTGCTGCTGGTGCTCTTATACTGCGCAGAATACACAGTATACTGTGTGTACAGTCATAACAAATTGAAGGATACAGCATGTGTAGGTTCCCCTGCCGTTTCATAACACAGTAGTTTTTAGGGCAATTTTTTTTAGTCTTTTCCAGATAAATTTTTTGTTTTTTATCGGTTTGTCCGGTAACTCTCTCCTTTCACTATAGTGTAGTGTTTGTCTTGGCTGTTGGTGTTAGACCTACCGAGATCCGTGTAGTTTGTATTACAAAACTGCCGTCTTCCACCAAAGCAGATGTCAAAGGGCAGCTCATCAGGTTGCCGTAGTTTCCCACCATTATCGATGGCTGCGAAAGCATCTTCCATGTTGTAGAAAGTAACGAAGGCATAGTGGTCACTGTGGGAACCAAAGATGTTGAGTTTAATGGTGACCCATTTCACTGTAAAGCCAATAAAAAACGTGTTAAACTGTAATGGTGCATGCTTACCCCCTATCTCTGAAGTGAAGTGACACACACTCCACCTCTCCAAACTGAGAGAAGCGTTCTCTCAGTTCATCGTGAGTCATGGACCTGCGGATGCGGCCGACGTACACCACCCGGCGCTCGTCCTGTGTGAAAGAATTAAATGCGATATAGTTACCGCCCACTGGAAAAGTAAAAAAAGATATATCAGTACGTCAGATGAGTTTTACTCACTATGGCTTTCAGTTTCTGAATCCTTATCTCGTGCTCTCTCCTGAGCTTCCTGGACTCTCTGCTGCTGCTGCACGGACGAAGAAAATGGAGAGTGAGATTTTGCTCCCACTGAATGTGTCAGTTATCGCATAAAATCAGGGGCAACGACAAGTCAGTGCAATTGTTCCTTATGTCAAAAGTTCGCACTAGTTCTCTTTGGAAGTTAGCAACAACTGCACTGTATCTGAACTGGATGGTTACAGCTCATCAATAATATTC